TCTGTTTCAATCTTTTGGAATAGTTTGTAAAGAATCAGTTTCATTTCCTCTTTGAATGTTTAGTAAAATTCTGCTTTGAATCCATCTGGTCCTGGGCATTTCTTTGTTGGGAGCTTTCTGATTACAGCTTCAATCTCCTTTAATGTTATTGGTCTGTTCAGGTTTTCTACATCTTCATGGCTTAGTTTTGGGAGATTGTGTGAGTCCAGAAATTTATCCATTTCCTCCAGATTTTCGAACTTGTTGGCGTATAGTTGTTTATAGTTGTCTCGGATGATTCCTTTTATTTCGGTTGGGTCAGTTGTAATATCACCTTTTTCATTTCTAATTTTTGTTATCTGAATCNGAGTTGATTTTAGTATATGGTGAGAGGTATGGGTCTAGTTTCAATCTCCTGCATATGGACACCCGGTTATCCCAGCACCCTTTGCTGAAGAGGGAGTCCCGACCCCAGTGAATAGGCTTGGTGCCTTTGTCGAAGATCAAATGGCAGTAAGTGCGTGGGTTGATTTCTGGGTGTTCTGTTCTATTCCATTGATCAGTGTCTCTGTTTTTGTACCAGTACCATGCTGTTTTGGTTATTGTGGCTTTGTAGTATAGTTTAAAGTCAGGTAGAGTAATACCTCCAGCTTTTTTTTTTTTTGCTCAGCGTTGCTTTGGCTATTCTTGGTCTTTTGTTATTCCAGATAAATGACTGTATAGTTCTTTCCATTTCTGAGAGAAATGTCATTGGAATTTTGATGGGGATTGCATTGAATTTGTATATTACTTTGGGTAGTATAGTCATTTTCACTATATTGATTCTTCCAATCCAGGAGCATGGGATGTCTTTCCATCTTTTTGTATCCTCTCTAATTTCTCTCAGGAGTGGTTTGTAGTTCTCGTTATAGAGATTTTTCATGTCCTTAGTTAGTTCAGTTCCTAGGTATTTTATTTTTTTGGTGGCTATTGTGAATGGGCAGGCTTTCTTGATTTCTCTTTCTGCTTGTTCACTATTGGTGAATAGAAATGCTACTGATTTTTGTGTGTTGATTTTGTATCCTGCTACTGTGCTGAACTCTTTTATCACCTCTAAGAGTTTTTTAATAGATGATTTGGGCTGTTCGATATATAGGATCATGTCTTCTGCAAACAGGGACAGTTTGACTTCATCCTTTCCAATCTGGATGCCCTTTATTTCCTTCTCTTCTCTGATTGCTCTGGCTAATACTTCCAATACTGTGTTGAATAGGAGTGGTGAGAGTGGGCATCCTTGTCTGGTTCCTGTTCTTAAAGGAAAAGCTTTCAGTTTTTCCCCATTCAGGATGATATTTGCGGTGGGTTTATTATATATGGCTTTGATTATGTTGAGATACTTTCCACCTACTGACAGCTTTTAACCCAGTGACTCCTAAGTCAGACTGTCACTCACTTGATTCAGCTCTAGTGTAAAACTGTCTCCAAAGAACCAGCAAACCCATCACCCTGGAGGCAGAACACTATCTGCTTTCTGGTGAAGTCTGGGCATGGGCCTCCCACCCCTGGGGCACCGCAGCTGAGCAAGCACCCAGGAAAGGCCCGGGAGCCAGCACTAGGAACAGCCTCTGGGGTCTTTTATTCAGTCTCCACACAAGTGCTGGTTCTTTGTCCTGAGGAATCAATCAGAGAAGCAATGACCTGGAGAAGGCACTTGGGGAACAAGGGAATCATGGTGCATGTTAATCAGCTATGAATGGGAAGCCCAGGCAGCCTTTCACACAAGTCCCTGTGTTCCTGAGCCCCCACCCCCACCCCCCCAGGGTATGTGGGCTCTCCTCTGTGTCTCCAGCTATGGGGGAGGAGGACACCCTGCACAGAGCCACCCACCTCCCATCACTCATCCCCCTCTCCATGAGAGTTGGCTGGCTGAGCATGTGCTTGGGACTCTGCTTCAGGAAGGGTCAAAGGCAAGGGTTAGTCTGTGTTTGAGATCAGGGCCTAATTGGTGACTACAGTCAAGATTTAGGCTGAGGTTGGGCAGAGGTCAGTATGTGGTAAGGATTAGGGATAAGCACATAGCAAGGATCAGAGCAGTTTACAGCCAGTATCTACCTGTGGGTCGTTCTGTTGTCAGAATAAAGACTCAGCTTATGCTCATGGTCAGGGCTTAGCTGAGGTCAGAGTCAGGGTGCCGGGACTCTGATTAAGAACCTAGCACCTCTGAAGTTCTCTCAGTTGGGGACAGTGTGCACACGTGTGAGCAAGCTCAGCTGCACACCTCCTCCCACGTTTCTGGAGTCTAAGGAAAACTGCAACAAAATTACTTGGGGATGTTTGTTTAAAATGCAGATGTGGCAGCCCTTTCCAATAGTCCATGAACCTGGGAAGCTGAATGCAGGGAGTTCCCTCAGGTGATTCTGGTGCTCACTAAACTTTGAGACTCTCTGCTCTGGATCCACCAAGGCTTTCTTTCCAGGAGCTACCAAAGCCCCATTCCTCACGGCCCAGGGCATCTACGCACAATTCCAATCCCCTTCCCTACTTGGAACTCAGGACCATGGCAGATGCAGGGTTCAGTCCCTGCCTCCTGCCAGCACCAGGCCACAGAACTTGAGGTGGCCCTCAGCTCACATTTATGGAGAGCTTGCTATCTATCGGGCATGTAATAACACATCAGCTATGTGTTAGCTCATTTAATCCCCACAAGCTTTGAGGTAGGTACTATCGTTGTTCCCATTTCAAAGATGAGGAGACTGAGGCCCAGAGAGGTTCAGAACTAAGGCCATGGAACTAGAAAGAGGCAATGCCAAGACTGGTCCCTGAGCATGCCCTCATACCTGGATGCTTTAGGTCATAGCAATCCATGACATTGTTCCTCAAAATGTGACTACTTATTAAAATGGGCATTATCCCCAATAGCTCCAGCTGTTCTCCCTCATTGCTTGATCAAATTCTAAATTTATCTTAACTTTGTAAAGGAGAATCCGTGCCTTTTCCTCAATCGAATTTCTCAGACATGTGGGAAAACTTCTGGCCTTGCACCCTGTATTAGTCTGTTTCTGTTGCTTATAACAAAATACTTGGAACTAGGTATTTTATAAGAAAATGAAATTTATTGCTTACAGTTTCTGAGGCTGGGAAATCCAAAGTCTAGGGATCACATCTGCTGAGAGCCTTGGTGGTGGCAACAGTGATGGCAGAGTATCACATTGCAAAAAACGGTGGAGAAGCGAGAGAAAAGGCTCCACCTGCACTCTACTTTCAAAGCCCTCAGAACCACGCCCATGACCACCATTTTTAATTCACTCACTAGGCGTGGTCCTCAGAATCTAATCACTTCTTCAAGGCTCCACCTTGCAATTACATAATAGGATTTCCCACCCTCTTAACAGTCACAGTGAGGATTAAGTTTCACAGGGACATTCGACCCATGGCATACCCAATTTCTGGATGTGGACAGAGCTGCTCGCTTTCTCTCTTGCCTTTTCTCCTGCCTCTCCAGGGGCTGCCAGCCTCACCTGGCCTCAGGAATTCAGACAGGGCTCCTTTTCTGATCTGGCATTTTATACTATCACAAACCTCTCCCAGAAAAGACTTCCTAAAGAAACGCTGCTCTTTTTTCTCTGAATCATTGGAGACATTTGGACATAATGGGGACATACAGTGGTTTCTCTCAAAATCGGGGCCACCCAAATGGGTAGCTGAGGCTCAACCTTACAAGGTTCACACTTAGCCAATTAGAATCTGGCTTTTTGCACTCTGGTAGGTGATTTCAGTGGGAGAGGAAAGAAAATGCCACTTGTTTCATTTGTTTAATATGCATTTGAAAGTCTGAGTAACATGCATTTGCAAGTCCAAGTAATTCAAAATGATGCATATTCAAAATGATGCAGAAGAGTGTATGATGAGAAACACCCCACCCCCTGCCCACCCTCAGGTGGCACATAGTGGGGACTTGGGAATATTTGCTGATCAAGACTTTAGCATTTTTATTCATCTTCTCAGAACCCATAGGTGTAGAGATGAAAGCTTTTCCTCATTCACTTCATTCAACATCTACTTGTGAAATGTGGTGCTTATTTCTGGGGCAGAGATTAATTATGGTCTCCCACCTTGAAATATTCTCCTTCAAGTAGATGGGGGTTGAGATTAAAACAGATATTTATAATGCTGGAAAAAAAGAAAATAACTGGCAAAATAAAAGTACAGGTGAGCATTTTGGGAGATCAGGGAAAGCTACAGCCAAGGGCTTGGGATGGGAGTGGGGGGGAGGGGGGAAGGGCACCAACATTTCAGCCAAACTTGGGAGGATAGTAAGAAATGAGCAAGTTCCTGCAGGTGGGAAAATCTCTGGGATGTGGCGAAGAGTGTTCTGGAGTCCAGAGCAGGAAGAGCCAGAAACTTTGTGGCCTTCATCCTGTAAGCCCAGGGAGCCTCAGTTTCCTCATCTGTAGATGGGGACATAACAATGGTGGTCCGAATGACATGAGGTAATACACATGGAGCATTTGGCACAGTGCCTGGAAAATAGATCTTGGCTAATAACACCCCATCCCCCTCCCACCCCATCCAACCCACCTTCCCCAGACATTCCCGACTGCACTCTCTTCTCCCTCCAAGTTTAAGACATCAGATTATCTCACCAAGATCCTCATCCGAATTAAATGAAATGCTGGTGTCGGGGGTGGGGTGGAGGGGTGGGGGCGCACCTGAGGACAGCCAGGGCCTGGGCTCCAGGAAAGCTGTTCCAGGGGTGCCTGGTACATGCCTGCTCAGGAACCACTGCCTGCAGGACAACTGCCTCCCAGTGACAAGCAGTTTGGGGCTTACAAAGCAGACTGCACGGGCATCCACTGCTCCTGCTATAACACCCGGGGTGATATCTGCATGTGAATATTTGCTGTGCTGCAGCTTCAGAGGAGGCTGGTTGGAAGGGTGGTTTTTACAGGGGTGTTAGCTCCATGGGTTTGCTGTCTTTAATCTTTGTTTTCTTATCAGAAATGCAAATTTGCCCTCAAACCAGAGCCCCAGGTCTGTGTCTCTGCGCTTCAGACTGGCTACTCTGTCCCTTCAGACTGGCTACTCTGTCTCTTTCGAGCATGGCATGGGGAGAGAGAGAAGGAATCCTAGGCCTGACAAATCCCTGAAGTTGCCGTGACCTATTCTGAGCAGTGAGGCGACGACTGACTGGCGACTTTAACCTCCCTCCTAGGAGCTTGTCTCACACCTGCTAGCATAACTGCTAGCATACCTTCAGTGACGGGACTCTCACCACCACTCCAAACACCTCACTCCACTGGTGAACAGCTCAGGCTGAGACAAATCCTTGATGTTGAGCTGAAATCTATCCATCTCGAGAAGCATTAATGGGACAATCACTAGCCCCTCCTTGTCAGAGCCCACCCCTTCCCCCACACTGCTAGAAGAATTAATTCCATCATCAAATGGTCAGCCCTGGGGAATGAACTTTTAAAAGCTTAAAGCAAGGTAGGTTAATTAAAATCTTTGATCAAATCGCCATAAACAGCGTAAAACTTCTCTCTCTTAATTATCCCGGATGGTCTCACAAGCATTGAAGCCAAGAGGCAGGGAGGGGAAGTGAGAGGTGAGGAGCTGGAGAGGAATATCCCAGAAAGCAAAGCCACCAGGCCAGAAGCTACCATGTTGCTGAGCAAAGACACCCATCCTTGCTTAGGTGACAGTCACTCACTGAGCACTTCCAGCATTGAAGCCAAGAGGCAGGGAGGGGAAGTGAGAGGTGAGGAGCTGGAGAGGAATATCCCAGAAAGCAAAGCCACCAGGCCAGAAGCTGCCATGTTGCTGAGCAAAGACACCCATCCTTGCTTAGGTGACAGTCACTCACTGAGCACTTCCTGAGTCAGTTGCTCCACTAGATGCCTGTGGCACAAGAAGGAAGACCCAGACCCTGCCACTGAGGAGCAGCTGGGGTCTTGTGAAGACAGACGAGTGAATACTTACCCCATGAGGTGACAAGTGCTCCCAACAGAGTGGCGAGAAGGGGCTGTGGAATCCCAGAGCGGAAGCTCCAAGACCAGCCTGGCAAGGTCAAGGAATGCATCCTGAGGAGGTGACTTTGAGCTGCGACATGAAGGGTGTGTTGGAGTCAGTCAGGTGAAAGTCGACAGTAAGTGCCAGACAGAGTGTAGGGCAGTAGCCAAAATATGAAAACAATCTAAATGCTTCATGATATATGATTAAGAAAATGTGGCATATAAGTAGAGTGGAATGTTATTCGGCCTTCAAAAAGAAGGAAATCCTACCATTTTTACATCATGAATAAACCTAGTGGGTACTATGCTAAATGAAATAAGCCAATCACAGAGGGACAAATACTGCATGACTGCACTTACTTGAAGTATCTAAAATAGTCCAATCGACAGAAGCAGAGAATAGAATGGTGTTTGCCAGGGAATGGGAGGAAAGGGAAATGAGGCACTGTCACTCAATGAGTATAGAGTTTCACTTATATAATATGAATAAGTTCTAGAGCTCTGCAGTTCAATACAGTGCCTATAGTTAACAACATGCTATTGTGTTCTTTAAAATATGCTAAGAGGATATATCTCACATTAAGTGTTCTTACCATAACACACACACATGGATGCGTAGATAAAACAAAACAAAACAAAAAAATTGGGGATGATGGATATGTCTGGTTTCTTGATTAGGGTGAAGGTTTCATGGGTACATGCATATATCCAAATTCATCAAAAGTTATACCATAAATATGTGCAATTATTTGCATATAAATTATACCTCAATAAAGCTTTAAAAATCAGTTAATATAAGCATTTTTGGTGTGTGCCTTATAAAATATTTCCAAAAGCTGTGGCCAAATAAACTGCCAAATAATCTTCTGATTTATTTTCACAAAATATGTTAGGTTCTTTAATTAGACGCTGCTATTGAAAACCAGTAAAACACTTTTAATATTTAATAAATATTCAAACATCAAAGAGCTGACATCCTAGCAAAGTCTTTTCAGGGTAAAATAAAAAGGAATGTGAGAAACAAGAAAGTAAGTCCTGAGTGGCTGCTTCCTCTAGCAGCTGCAGATCAATGGGAAATCAAAGCTTTCCTGAATCGCCACCATCCTAATTCAAATCCTTCATTGCCACTGAAGACAGGAGACAGCAGCCACCAAGAGAAAGTTTGGGGTGAGGAATATTCCCTCTCCTACCTCCTGCCTTTGCTAATGCTGCCTCCTCCATTTCAAATAGGCTAGTCCCCTTCACTGCAGGTCCTGCTCACCCTTCTAGGATGGGTTCAAATGTCCCTTCTTCCCGGAAGCCCTCCTGGCTGTTCTGCCACCTGGAATCTGAAACCTAGGGCATGCTCCTTCTCCAGTCTCAGCTCTCCAGCTGTACTGCAGTCTAGCCCCCTGAGTCCTGTAAAGCAGCCTGGCAGAGTGGGAAACAAACAGGTCTGGGAACCAAGATGTGGGTTCAAATCTCCATGTAACTTCTGGTTACCCTGAGGCCTTGAGCAAGTCACTCAATTCCCACTGAGCCTGTTTCCTTGTCCATAAGACAGAGATACTGATCTGTATAGGAACCACCTGAGGATCTTGTTACGATGCACCTTCAGATTCAGCTGGTCTGGGGTGAGCCTGACATTCTGTATTTCTAACAAGGTCTCAGGCAATGCTGTTGCTACTGGTCCTGGACCACCCTTCCAGTAGCAAGACAACACATTCAGCTCCTGTGAGGAATACAGAGTGTTTCAAAGGGCCAAGCTTATATGAGGAGCTAAATAAGTGGAAGGCTTTGTTAATGCTACTGTTATCTCTATCACCGTGCCTGAGATGCAGGAGGTGCTAGAATTAGGGGCAGCTGCTTATCTCCCCTGCTACCTGGCCAGCCGTCCTTACCTGGCGAGTGTCCTGAGGGCAGGATATGTGCCTGATTGCTCCATCCCATCGACATGCCTTGCACACAGAAAGCTGAACTGTGCAGCTGTAAGGACAGGACAAAGTCATTTCTATCGAGCTTTGGGGAGGGGTCAGCTCTGGGGAGACCCTTCTGCCCTGTGTTCTGAGCACATGTGCGGAAAATCATGACCATGGAGCGAGGCTGCTCACAGTCTGCCCTGCCCCAACCTCCTTGTCCTGTAGGAGTGCAAGCTTCCCCCAGAAGCCTCCACTCTCAGAAGCCGATTTCTGTGGGAATGAGCTCCCTGCCTCGACGCATCTGTACACTAGGGAAAACAGTTGGCTTCATAACCTTGAGGGAAAAGCAGACAAATAAAGGAGTCTCGAGAGATTTATCAGAGTCTCTAGGAAGCTGTAAAACATATGTTGCAACATATTGATCCTTGACAAGCTCCAGCAACAGAGGAAACCTTTCCCTCCCACACTGGCTAATGAGGACCTGGGGGCAGTCTTCCGCCCCCTTCCCCCAGCAGGGTTCCATCTGCGGAGTCTCAATCTCAGGCCTGTCAAGCGAGCTAAAGATGAATCCACACCCAGCTGAGGGCCCCTTCAGCCTCCAAAGCCCTCGCGATGCAGGTGTAAAGCCCAGGTGTTGACAGTCCCTCGGATCCTCAGTGGCACAGCCCAGTTTGTCCCCTGTGCCCAGAGCCCTTCTATCTTCAAGGGTCATGAGGTTAGAGCCCTTCTATCTTCAAGGGTCATGAGGTTAGGCCAGGGATGAAGAGAGCAGTCAAAGCCTGGAACAGTACTTCTCTACCCTGCTTACACATCAGGATCACCTGGGGAGCTTTAAAAGTACATAGACACCTGGGCACCACCTCCAGGAACACTGAATTCTGGGGTGCTGCCTGGAATCAGTATTTTTAAAAGTTCCCCAGGTGATTCTAATGAGCATTTGAGAGTGTGAACCACTGACCTAGGAAAAAAGTTATTGCTCAGATTTAACCTTCGAAACCTTTCAAAACTGAGCTTTTAAAGACCTCCATATAACAATAGTCAAAATATTTCTTATTTGCAAGAGAAATGATTTTCTTTATAAATGCCACAGAAAAGATCAAAGCCTGGAGGGCTAAGATCATAGAGCTGGAAGGATGCTGGACATGGGGTGAGAGCAGTGTTTCCCCTCAAAAGGAAATGAAATTCTCTTAGGAGAACACAGCAGTTAGAAAGGAAATCAACCAGGGTAGCAATAGGTGAATTTCCTGGCCTCCAGATAAGGCCAAGAGCAGAAGGGAATTCTGCATGTTGCCACCCACAACTTTGGCAGCCACCTGGAGAAGGGAGGGGATGACACCAGTCAAGTAGGCGTGGTGGCTGAGAGGTCTACACAGAGAGGGGATCTGAAAGAGCCCTCCTCCTGAGCCTCTCACCTCCTGTGTGGTTCAGAGATCTGTCCAACACTGGAATCTGCAGACCGTTATTGCAGCCCAAGTTCATGGGCCCGGACAGCTTCCGCTGTAGCTGGGGCGGGATCTGGACAGCAGGGGACACCAGCAGCAGCACGTGCAGCAGGTGCCAAGTCTAGCACCCAGAGACCAAGGTGCCAAAGGGATGGGAAGGGGAGCAGGAAGAGAAATTGTTGCAGGAAGTTCTTTGAATCAAAAGTTGCGGTTGTTTCTGCTGAGTAGTAATGGGGGAAATTCAAGAGCAAGTTAAACTTAGTTACAAAAAGAAAGAAAGTTACATTTCTGCACATGTGATTATAACCATAAATCATAAACCCACTGTGAGGTCTATTCAGAAAAGAAGAAATATACACAGCCAAAATAGGAAGAGATGCTCAGTCTCAGCAGTAATCCAAGAAACACAAATCAAAACACTAGTAATACACCATACGAGCCTATCGGATGGGAGGAGGCATTTTAAAATCTAATATCCACTATCAGCAAAAGTACAGAAGCCAGTCTCTGACACATTGATGGTGAAATGCATGTAATCTTTCTGAGGGACAGCTGGGTAATGAGAATTAAAAGAATTACAATAATAATGCACTTTGGTGCAGCAATTCTAGAAATTTATCCTAAGGAAAGAAGGATTACAGAAAGCTGTGGGAACAGGTTGTTCATTAGAGCTTTTATTATGATCCTGAAAAACTGGTGGACGAAACCCAAATAGCCAATAATGCAGAGCCAGATAAAAATACAATACCAATATTTTTTACATTCTAAAAACTTTCATTCATATTTTATGAAATAATATGAACCATTAAAATAATTTTAGGAATATATTTAGTGACTTGGAAAGGTGTTCACAGTATATTGGTGAGAAAACAGGTTAAAATAATGTTTATTGATTCCCGATCATATACAATGCATATACAATATATTTGGGTATAATTCATAAATATGAAATAATAGAAGGATTTACCTCTGTAATATTAACAATGATTTTCCTAAGGTAAGGACATTATTACTCTGTATTTTCTTTTTTCTTAAAGTATATTTTCTAATTTTTCTACAGTAAACCTGTATTATTTGTGATTTTAAAAAGTTAAAGTTTGTGATTTAAAAAGTTAAAGTTTAAAGGTTAAACACATTCATTTAGTTCTGCTCTATCTCAAACCAAACTAAAAACAATAAAATGATTTCTTTTGAAGGATAAGCCCATAAGGCTTTTAAAAGATAATGAAAGAACACAACTGCAACAGCGTTTTATAAGCTGGAAAGCAGTTGGAGGAACAGTTGGAAGGTTGCAACTAAGAAGTTTGCTTCTCAGTCAAGAGTAAGGAAAGCCAAGAAGCAACCTGGTTTGCATCTCAGAAACCACCCCACTACCATGGTCCACTGGAAATGGAGATAAAATATTATGAAAACAATGCCATTGATCGAGAGTCTATTGAAGAAGATCCCAAGTCCCTTTTCCTCGCCCCTGCAGTGGAATGGAGGCTTGGCTCTGGAAGGTCTATTCTCTGCAGAAAGAACAAGCATAGGGACTGGAGAACACCACCAAGAACAGTTGAGAGCAGAGGGATTAGTAAAATTTACCTACTCAATGTTGACCCCACCCCTCAGCCATATTTCTTCCCTCAGCTCCCAGTTGCAAGGTAGAACATGAAAAGATCTTCTTTAGATTATCTGATAACCCCAAAAGGAAAAACCTAAAGATACAAACATTGGGATTCCCCAAAGACCACCTACAGTGAAATGCACAGTCTTGACAAGCTCCATCCATAAGCACGGCTTCCAGTCAGCTTTTAAATATGAGCCACAACTAAAGTGCCCCAGACATTTGAGGAAAACTTCAAGTGAGAGACAGAAACTGAAACAAAATTGGGCAGAAGGGCAACATGGAGGAAGGAGAGACCAAAATTTTGCAAAAATGCAAAATTTAGTAGAAGGGTAGAAGATAAAGTGGAGAGAAATCTCCCAGAAAGTAGAATAAAAGACAAAGAGATGGGGGGAAAAATGGGAGAAACAACATAAGGTATTAGAGGACTAGTCCAGAAGGTCTAACATGCAAACATTAGGAATTTCAAAAAGAGACAACTCTTATTAGCCACATGTGTTTCTTTGGGGTGCATGACTTGTCTGTTCCTGTCCTTCACCAAATTTCTGTTAAGATTTTTCTAATAAATTTTTCAGAGTTCTTTATGCATTAAGGAAAAAATAATAATAAATAAAAAGCAAGAGCCAGTGGGGGGGTGGGGTGGGGGAAAAGAACAAAAAGCTACCAAAAAATACACAAAACGATGAGAATTATTCATTGTGGCTGGATATATAATCAGCATACAAAAAAAAAAAAAAAAAAAGAGGGAGACAACTAAAAAAACAGAGGGGAGAAAATTATGAAAGGAAAAATTGAATAAGAATTCCCCAAACTGAAGGATCTGCATGAAATGGAAGACGGTTTAGGGCCGGCCCGTGGCTCACTCGGGAGAGTGTGGTGTTGATAACACCAAGGCCATGGGTTCGGATCCATGTATAGGGATGGCTGGTTAGCTCACTTGGGAGAGCGTGGTGCTGACAACACCAAGTCAAGGGTAAGGATCCCCTTACCGGTCACCTTTTATAAAAAAAAAAAAATAAAATATCTATTACAGAGTAGTAATCATTCAATTGGTGATATATATCACCTTATGGGTTCAGGAATCCAATGATCTCTCATTTAATTTCCTTCCATTTTCAAGTATGGCATAACATATCAAACACACACACAACTAATTACAAAAATTTCCAAATATACAGCAAACCTGGAGAAATTACAAAGAATACTTGAACATCCATCACCAAGATTCAACTACTGTCACAATTTGCCATATCTGTTTCAACTGTTTGTGTGTGTTCTGAATTCATTTCAAAGTTAATCAGAGATATCACAGCATTTCATTCCTAAATACTTTAGCATAAAGATGTCTTGCTACATAAACACACTACCGTTATCATACTGAACAAAACTGCAGACAATTCTCTAATATCATCGATTGCCCAGTTCATGGTTAAATTTCCCCAGTTGTGTCATGTCAAAGTGTTTTTATATCTGCTTTCTCCCAAAGATATTGCCAAGAATCATCACTAAATTTGATTGTAATGTCTCTTTTAATCCCACTGCATCCCATCTTTTTACAAGTTTCCAACCTGCAAGTGTTTACCCAGCCAAGATATCAATTATGTGTAAGGGTCAAATAAAGACGTTTTCAGACATGCAAGATGTCAAAGATCTACCAGGCACTGTTTCTTACGAAGACTCGAGATACGTTGCACCCAATGAGGGGGATAAACAGAGAGAGAGAAACAGGGGATTGGGGACACAGAAGATCCAGCCCAGAAGACAGGGAAAGGAAATCTGCATGACGATGTGACCGAATGTCCCAGACAACAACCAAGAAGCAGTCTGGGAGGACACATGGTTCAGGCGGGGGCTGATTTCTCTTTCATGTCTTCAGAGAAATGAAAAATGCAGAACACCTGATATGTTTGAACAGCTTCAGAGGAAATTTAGGCAACTGGCAGAGTTTGGCATTGGATTAATGATAAGTCCATAGAATACCAGTGAAATGAGAAACCTATGACAATTATTAACTTCATG